AATCCCTCAACTTTCTGTGTGGGTTCATTTTATGCCTGTCTCCTCGTGGCTCACCACTGTCTGTCGCATTATCCAGTCTGCCAACCACAATCAGGAAAACCATTGGAGATAGCAGTCAGCCAGCCAGTCTTGTATGACTCCTGTCCTTACTTCTTTGAAGGATTCCATGAGTTTCCCGTTGTGGATAACTTGGAATACACCATTATCGTACAACTGTTGGATGAGATGTATGATTGCTGGCAGCACCTCGTAGTAGCAAAGTAGTTGCCAAATAACCTCTAGATCGACGCTGCACTATCGAAGGCCTTATCAAAGTCAGTGAAGTTGAGTGAGGTGGAGAGGTGACTGCCATTCCAAGCTCTGTTCAATGATGGTTGATCCCTAGTGTCACGATTTGATCGTTGCATGACTTGTTTCTCCCGAATCCAGCTTGTTCCGGTCAAAATTTTTCATCCAGGGCTAGTTTGATTCTCTCCAGTATTTTGCTTGGGATGGACAATGGCATAATTCTGCGCCAGGTTTTGCATTGACTTAAGTCTCCTTTCTTTGGCAGTTTGAATAAATATCCTTTCTTCCAATCGTCGAGTACTTTACCCTCTTTCCACACCTTCTCCAGCAATGGCAGCATCAAGTCCGCTGTTGTCTCTGGGTCCATTTTCAATGTTCCTGTTGGGATTCCATCTGGTCCTGCTGCTTTTCCAGCTTTTAGCACCTTGATTGCCTTCAGGAGTTCTGATTTCGTTGGGGGGTCGATGCTCACTGTTAGTTCTGCTTCCGTTGTTGGTGTTGTTGGGCGCGTTGTGAGTGGCGGTCGATTTAGAAGTCTTTTGAAGTGTTCAGCCCAGTATTTCCTTTATCCACCTCTTTAGTGATTGACTTCCCATTGTTATATTTCACTGGCTTAATTTGTGTCGAACTTTTCCCCGATAGGGTCTAGTTGTTTGGTAGAGTGCTGAAAAGTCTCCTTTGCTGCACTGCAGCTTGCTCTGCTTAACTTGCTGAAGCTTCTTATTATTTTCTGTTTTCTTCCCTGTCACTGTTCTTTACTGTTTTGTTCATTGTAATGTAGTTCACATTCAACTCCTGTTTTTGTTGCTTGTCGATAATCTCCTGCTTCTATTAATCTCCAAGTGTCCGTGGTGAGCCACTGCTTGTCCTGTCTCTTCTTTCTTCATGGAACTTCCACACATGTTTGGCTCCACACCACTTCCAGGCTGTTCCAGTGCTTTTCAACACTGGTCTCTTCGCTGGTGATGATCTGCGTCCCAGATGTTTTCCTTATAATTGCAGTGAAGATGTCATTTGTGGCCTGATCCTTTAGTTTTTAAGTACTGAATGGGACTTGTGGTCTATCTGCAGCTCCTGAAACCTTGTAAGTTTTTAATTTGATTTGGAATGTTCCTTGCCCGAGGTGGTGGTCTGAACCGAGATCTGCCCCACCTCTTACTTTTGTTTCCAGTAAGCTGCGTCTCCACTTTCTTGGGATTGAAACGAAGTCAGTTTGGTTTTCAATGCAACCGTCTCATCTCTCTGGAACTATCTTTATGCAGAGTAAAGTTTTCATCTCCGTACGACCTCCTAAATCGTAGTGTGTGTGATACGGATAAATATACTGTCAGTCAGGATGGTATGTTCTGTAACTGGTCGTAATATGAAAAAGTGAAAGCGCTCTTGTGTATGATACCGTTGCCCAAGATTACATGAGCATAACGTTGGTACAATATGGTCATCCGTCACACTTTCATCTTGAAATTGCTGGCGCACTACTTCCCAATGGCTACTCGAAACTACATGTTGACGAAAACATATCTCTACACCAGATATCATGTCAGAAACAAGCTGTCAATTCTCCATGGGAAGATGCATTGAACATATTGAATTCGTCCTAGGAAATCAAGCGATTCAAGTTAACAATTTGAATATCTCGCCTTTCAAGAGGCCTTATGAGACAGTGTATTTTAACGTATGCTACAGTATTATTAGGCGGACTAATGTGACGTAAGCATCGGAAATTCCTTCTTGGTACCCAGCTCACTCAGCCAGTAAAGATCACAGATACGTTTATGCGATCGACCATGTAAACTGAGGAGGTGATGACAGATGCGCAGTTGGTTTGATACACCTACAGCACTCTTGTGTTACCCGATTACGCTCATTTAGTCCATATCAGAAGCACGTACTGAACCAAGTAAAAACAACAAATTGAATGTTCACAAACATATGTATTTTGTGATTAACTTCACCAGCCTAACTAATTTGGGATAACTCAAAGATAACCGAAGGTAGCGGCGACATGAATGCTTAAACTAGTGGATTAAGCTCAGTCAGTGCTGAGTTTTTAGAATCAGTAGACCATTTGTTTACCTCGACAGCCTCCATACAAAATAGGGGAAAAGTGAAGAACCTGGAAAGGTATATTCCAGGAGCAAAAGCTTATGAATTATACCGTTAGTAAGAATTTTCCTCTACTCGTTTGCTTTCTAAAAATATTCAGTGCATACAGTCGACACTGTGTGAGTGTGTGAGCCCTGTATGAATTAATGCGTCATAACTTTTCACTACTATTGATAAGCTCGCTTGTTAAGTAAAATGGTACGGGTTTGAAAGAACGGCCCATTGGTCACTAAAAATGTCCCTAAATGGTGACCACTTGAATAAAAACCCCTCTTTAGAATATTCTATACGGCGTTATACGGAAGACCAGCAAGTAAAAGGAGAAATGATATTTCCATGAAAAAACGTGTACTTTTCACCGTGTTCAATTGCTCGAGCTTCTGGCATTCTGGTACTAAGTCTGTTCCTATAACACGATTCTGGTGCGTGGAACCCACTCTAAATAATCCCCATTGCTTCATTCGGCCCCAACCTAGTCAAAATTTATAGTAATAGCCATCTGGTAGACATGTATTCAGCACTGTCGGTCAGTTGACTATATGTTTGTGGGTATCAGTGGAAAACCCCAACGAAAAATGGCTACATCCCCGTAGACAAGCCATCTCTGAAAAAAATCAAAATCAAGATACAACTCCACTAAGGATTTGGTACACAGTATCTACCACAAACCATCTTCCCAAATTCTGCGAACGTATACTACGAACGCATGTCCGTCGTTTTATTGTTTGTCCAATATACTACACAAACTATCAACGAGAAGTTCCATTCATTTACGGGCCGTCAGCGTATGATCAACCAAAGCACAGCCTCTTAGGATGAAGATTGTCAATCACGTCTTAAAAACCGTTAATGCCCAGCTCTTGCTACGCCCGGCCTCTCGCTGTCCCTCGAAGACTTTCAGAAACACTTAGTACCAACGGACGCAAAAACCAAAACACCGATTGGCGACTCGAGAATTCTTTATTCTAACACCAACATATGGTCAGCACAATAACTAAGGTCTATGAACAAATACTGCAATAATAAATCACGACATTACTTCTGACCGTTTATGATCTTCTTTCTGAACGGCGATCGAAATGACGATGACTGGTGTGTTGATGCCTCCGCTAAAATATGGGGAAGTTGGGTTTGAGCAAACAACCATGAATTGATCGTTCAATCTTCAAATACATTGGCAAAGATAAAAACAGTCTAAATGTTTATCATAGGCAGAGAACATTTAGACCCACTGACAGCGAAAAATCCAATGCCTGGAAAAAGCGTCCTAGTGAAAGTGACGTTTCTGTGAATGTGTTTTGTCGGTAACTGACCCGCAGTTATCAGAGTAAGTAGCACACCAGCTACCTATCATCCAGTATGGTCACTTTTCGGCACAAACCGCATGCATGAAATGAAAGCCGATTGACTGATAAGCAGCGATAAGTGGCAGTGGGATGCTTTTTTCTGTGGATTCGGACTAGACAATCCAGTGGATAAATCATACAGGCTCATAAAGGCGAATAGAATACGTGTTGGAACACCCCAGCCATTTGAATTTACCTTAGACCCCGTCACAGAAGTGGAGCTTGCTTCAGTGTTTTCATCAGTGCTAGTACTAATCAATCATCCGCAATAAAGCTGAAGCTTGACAGTTTGTGTACCATTAGACAGGCACCTCCTGAAGCATTAAATGGAGCCAAAACCACAACTACACGCATACACTGTATCCCATGACTGGCAATCCGTGATGAAGGTGAAAAATAAATGGATGACCTGCAACAGGGGAATTCGTTATCTGAGAGTGAGAACAATCACGTCAGGCAACATCTTCATCCTATCGCCCTCCATCACATTTATCCACATTTATTGCATCTCGAATCAAGGCAGTAAGTTTCGAACGTCATAACACCTAGATACATGTTCTCAAAGCCTGATACACTTCTCAAGGTTTAGTGAGTGTAGGAACCCAATTCCGTGACAGAAAGCTAACAGTATTGCAGTAACAGCCAAGAAGATTTATGCTACAGCACTACCTAACTGCATGGTAACGCCAAGTAGAGCTTAGTGAAAACAGCGTCAGGTGTTTTAGAAATTGGAAGCGAATTTCGCAAGCTCCAACTGAGCTACTACAATCTGTAAACTTGTTCCGAGAAAACTGGTGTATCATCCATTATTCAATTCAGCAGAGCTGTAGCAGTCGTAGAGATTCTCCGACCGATAATCTGAATCTGTTCTGAAAGAACAAGAATTCAAGAGATCTAAACAAGCCACTCAAAAAGATACTGGACTATGGATCCATAATTTTCCGTGAGATAGAACATACTCACGCAGCCATCATCCACTAGTGTAAGCCCAGATGGTCGTTTTTCGCACAAATTATCAGACGTAACCCTTTGACAGAGAAGAGAAATTCATCATGCTCTCCGTTCGGCTTCAAAACTAGATTCCACTTCCCAAATTTGGCAGTTATAAAGAATAGTGCAGGTCGTTTTCCCACTCTCTTTTTCCTTTATGATCGGTATTCGGTAGAAAGTTGACCTTGGTGTTCAAATCTTGCAGTTTGCGACGTAAATTGTCGACACGTGTTGAGCGCGTATTTCACAATAGTAAGAAACACGTAGAAAATGGGGTTCCTTGGATTAGACGTGTTCGATGAAGTGAAGCGAATGAACAAAAGACAGGTAACTTTACATCTGGTTTTTAATCAAAACTATTTTCAGATATACTACCAGGTTTTAACTATTGCCATGGTCGTGGCTTCTGCTCTGATGATTTGGAAGCTTTTGGTAGTATTAAGTTACAGTGAAAGTCCCTTAGTAGTGGTCTTGAGGTTTGTTTATCAAGCATAAAAATAATATCTGGATTTCAGTGGTAGCATGGAGCCTGCTTTTTACCGTGGTGACGTACTATATCTAACTAATTATCCCGACGAACCTATCCGAGTGGGTGACATTGTTGTCTTTAAAATAGAAGGCAGGGAAATTCCAATTGTCCATCGAGTGCTTAAACTGCATGAAAGGTTAGTTTATACTTTGATGCTAAACTGTGGTTTTCTTGTAAAATGCCTTTCGAACTCTGGAATTGAGTCTCGAGATCTACCCTTTGGAATGAGATCAGAAATTTAGTATAGGGTTTTTGCACCTAGCCACTCGTCAGCTTTTATTTTAATATGTTTCCCACTCTTAAGCCTGCTCGCGTTTCCATAGATAATGATGCTATGCAACGAGTACTGCCTACTTTAATTTTATATTTTCTTTGATTTTAAATTTTTATTATAGCTCGAAACTACACAGTAGTTTTGGTACAAGTATGGAATTTTCAGCATGTGATATCGGTAGCCCAAATTTTCAGGCCGACCATGGATATCAGGTTTGCGTCGGCAGGGGATCGAACCCCGAACCATGTGCATGGTCGGCGAGAGTCCTAACCGCTGAGCCACCGATGCACAAGTAGATTTCACATAAACATTCTAAGTGTAAGCTAGTTGCCATATTCCTTTCTACAAAACCATATGCAGGTTCCTAGATACACTCATACTACATTTCTGGACTATCATAATTGTCGACGGCTCCATCGTTCAAGATATTTGTAAGAACAGTTTAATTGAACAATTAATGTAGCTGCACCAGTTTCAGTTCAATTGACTCAGATGATTACGAGATAAGTTTGTTCTGCTCTGCATTCGGTTATGTATTTTTTCAGAAGGCTCCTCACTTTTTCCAGCATCCTCCGTGTTAACCCAAAATATACCACTAGTTTTTTATTCTCGTTTTACATGTGTGTAGTTGAAGACTATGGTGCTACACAAAGTATCATCAGGGCATTCTCAAGCATAATACACAATGTATTTCACCTGTTGCATCGAGAATAACCGTGTGGTAATTAAAATGTGTTGCACACATTGAAAGGTAGTATCATCTTTTGAAGTTACATCATCAACCACATTTAACCGATATTTAGTTTGTCTTCAGAAGTGAACGAAAGTCATAATATAGTTATTTGAACTCATTGTTGTAATCACCTCACAAACATAATTTAGGCTTGTTTCTGCTAAAGATGACTCAGGATGTATAAGATATGGAATAAGAATTGTAGCTTATTTTGTAACCTACATCGTCATCAGGTTATTGAAATAATTCTATTCATCTGCCAGTCGTTTTGTTTTACAAAGATTAAAAAATGAAGTAGATATGTAAAACATAATACTATCTCTTGAGTATTTAAACCTCGTTGTGACTGGGGAACAAGCAAGGCTATCATCTTCTGCCACTCAGTTGATTATATATATATATATATAATATATATATATATATATATATATATATATATATATATATATCTTACTATGGATTTCGGTATAGATGTACCAAGTTTATGTTTAGGCTAATAAACACTAATTTCTATCATCGCTTCCTTTATCTAGCGTTAATGGCTCCATTAAGTTCCTCACCAAGGGAGATAACAATCCTGTTCATGATCGTGGTTTATATGCTCCTGGTCAAGATTGGTTGACACCATCTCATCTGATAGGACGAGCAAGAGGGTATGTTTACGATTTTTTTTCTTTATCGTTTTACTTTTAAATCTGAAGTATATGCGAACTATAGAGATAGTGATGCTTCATGTCATCTTGAATAGTGTGTGAATATATTCAAGTTTTACAGATTGCGTAATGTTGTGTCACTCTTTATTCTTAACAGGCGTGAATTACCTAAGACCAAAAGACTTCCTATGATGAACAAATAATCGTATATGCTGTGCTCTTCTAGATATGCTGAGAAATCAATTTAGAACCCTATTCAGAAATGTATTAATTCAACTCACCACACTTAATATCATTGTATTAAGACAAACAGAGAGGATTGAGTTGAAAAGGAAAGAGGTTGATTCCTCAATTTTGATGGTGTAGAGCCATTTGACCAAGCGTTTCCAGTCGCTGATACAATATGGAATGTATAAATGCCTCTCAAAGATTCACCTAACGTAAAGCTTGCGACGATGATGTACGCACTAACTACCTTTGGTAGTTTGGAAATATGCTACTAATGGCATCCCAGAGACTCTCTTCACAATGCTCGCTGTTCGCTAGCTCTTGAACTGGATGAGAAAATCAAAGAGGTCGTCAGCGTATCATATGATACCATCGAATGAAGGATGTATGTGACAGTTTAACATCCTCTCGGTACATCAGGAATTGCTGGGTAGAGTCCGAGAGATAATTTGAATTGGTGGCTCTAGATGTGACTATGAGATATAACCAAGAATCGTAGTCACTGGTGAACACGCTGCAGTCTCCTTCTTACTTCCCTTTCTGAGTGGATAATGAACGCTTTTGACAAATGTACTTACATGTTTTCTGGATCATCCCCGTCATTTGTTCTATCCTTATTTTCCTTATTATTGTTTTATCACTTTACTGTGGCGATTTTCGTGGTGCCCGTAGTGTACAAAGTTTGTATTTTTACTAATAAAATTGGGCCATTTATGGAGAATTCAAACAAGTTCACTTCATATCAAAGCTTGGGCTGCAAATGTTGCCTAGAGGGATAATGAAGGCTTCCCAATTAAGTTAACCCCTCTCAGAGAACATTACCACATCAAAACCAATACAACTTTCTATTTGATCGATAGCTTCTATCTTGACATGGTGGTCGGGCTTGCATATATCTCAATAAATCAATGAGCTACACTAGCTAGGATGAATCTTTTATGCCAGAAAATTCGTTTAGATGGCAGTTAGATTAAAAGCAGCCACCATCATATTTGAAGTCACTCACATTATATTTGGGGCTTGATGGATTTAATAACAACAACGAAACGTTTCCATTGGACGAATAGCAGGCCAGTTATACTGTCTCTCCTCTTTGGGGATGGAGAGTTGGCATAAACTGGGCCAGAAAATTGTAAATCTTGACTTACTTTGCGGCATCCCTTAGCAGTTGGTAAAATATTCACATAAAAACAACTCTTAAAACGACCACTTCGAATAGACTGTGTATGTGTGTGTGATCAGCTCTGAGAAACTGTCCTCTAAATTCTGCGTTCACGCAATACTAATACTCTTTCTATCTTATGTATTTCAAGAGAAAATCAATCAGTTAATAGATAATAATTAGTTAAAATAAGAGTGGAATCTGACCTTTGGTAACCTGAAATTTTATCATTATCTTTTTAGAGTAATACCTTGGATTAACCAATTTCTGTGCCAGTAGTTTCTATGCGTTGGATTGTTCTTATATGGTGAATAGATTCTTGTCTGAAGGTAACAAGTAGCCTCACCTAAATGGTCTTAAACTGAATCCATCTAAATGTCATATTGTTGATTTTAGCGTCAGATGCGACGAAGACCCGGCCGATAACTGCCACCTTGTCGTGGTGGTTGGGCTTGAATACCGTAGTGACTCAATATGCTAAACTGACTGGGACTCTGTCCCTGCAGGTCCTATCATGTCAGGAAGGTTGTTTGGATAGCGGTTAAACTTAAAAGCAGGTACTATGGGGTACATGGGCTCCAGTATCCAATCGGATCAAATGGCGTATGAACCCATATGGGTCACCGGAAACCATGGGAATGCAGCTCCTGACGCTGCTCCTCTGCCTTGCGGATTAGACTCCAAGTCAAAGGCTCGGGGGGTGGTCCCTTAATAAAACCACCTGCTTCTGTCTGGGCGCCTAGGCAGTATCTCAGCCCTCACACAATGAATTGAATGAAGCAACAAACAATCAATGAAACTTATCGCGTGCTATTATACGTGTTGCAATTTCCTTCTTTCTTCCCTTCCCGATGATAGTTAACGAATACTGTTTGAACTTATAAGCATGACTGTTTTCCTTCCAGATGTTCTTTATCCGTTCTCTACTTATATATATGTATATATATTTCTTTTGGTCTATATTGTTTTATTATTATTGTGTGGCGCATCCTTCTTGGTGCCATATTGTACCAAGTTTTTATGCGCTTAAATAAATATCACATATGGCCAAGAATCTTATTTACTAATGAAAAACACTGCAGTTTCCTTCCTATTTCCCTTTCTGAGTGGATAATCAACGCTTTTGACAAGTGTACTTACGTGTTTTCGGGATCATCTCCCTCATTTATTCTATCCTTATTATTATTTCATCATTTCTCTGCGGCGATTTTCGTGGTGCCCGCAATGTATGAAGCTTTTATTTTTACAAATAAAATTAGGCCATTCCTGCAGAATTCAAAGAAGTTCACTTCATAATACAGTAATAATAGGTATTTCAACAGAAAATCAATCAGTTAATATTAGTTAAAATAAGAGTGGAATCTGAACTTTGGTGACCTGAAATTGTATTATTCTTTTTTTACAGAATAAAATCTTGGATTAACCAATTTCTGTCCCAGTAGTATGTGTGCATTAGATTGTTTTTATATGATAAATAGATTCTTATCTGAAGTTAACAAGTGATCTCATCTAAATGGTCCTAAACTGAATCCATATACATCTTATATTGTTGATTTTAGCGTCAGATGCGAACAAGACTTGCGTGCGCAAAACCGATTCAGTCAGATGATTCTTGTATTAGTGACGCCTTCCTCGACGAGCGGATATAGGGTCAGGCTGGAAAAGCGCTGGTGGCGGTGAAACCAAAACATGGCTTCATCAGTCAATGAAATCCACAACAGTTAGTTTAAGCCAGCCAGTCAAGTAGGAAGGTGTAGACTTCCTGGTTGGGGTCCTCGGGACGGTAGGAACCAATGGTTGGAAACAGTTGGTGATTATGCCTCAGAATCGTTCCCAATGGCGCATATGCAACCACTCCCTGTGACTTATACTTTCCAATGAAACTGTTTTGTTCTTCGTTATTACTCCTTAGTCTCACACCTCTGTTTACTGTCTCTATTATGCTTTTCTTGTACTTTCTTCTCTTGCTTCGCGTGCTACACGGAGTGTGGCGACTTGAACTGCCGCACATATGTGCAAAGTTCTATGTCGAAAACAGACAGAGACAGACAGTATTAGTGATGGAACTGTAATATTACAGAGTAAATCGAATATCTCTCATTTCAACATCAGTTTCTCTTTAAATCTCTGTTGGTCGTCTCATATCCTGTTGACTTCTAAAAAAAATTTTCTTCTGACCTGTTAGATGAAGAAGTTGAAACTTCTTGGCATAACTCACCTCTTCTCCTACAATTTATTAATTTATACATTCTTCCCTTTATCCTTTATTGTTCGTCTCACTTATTCTTCTCTGAACTTCTCAAAAAAAAAGACTTTGTCTTATCACGTAGAACACTAAAGGCTGTAGGTAGAGTTAATGGTATGTATTTGACTCAGCTAACTGACATTATTGTCAACAGGCACTTCATATTCTAGCAAGCATTTGGCTAAAGTTATATTGTCTGACACTAAACATCCTCGTTATTGCTCACAACTTTTGCCTTGTATATCTTTAGGTAAATCAGAAGAAGCTTTATAAGGATTTATGCTTGTACAGCTTCTAAGTATAAAAATTCTACCATACCAGCATACTTGGCACAGGTTTTGTGTAAAGAGAGAGAGAGAGAGAGTCGAATGTCAGAAAAAAACTTGTAGACGTTTTAAATCAGTCACTGGACTGATAAGTATGAGCAAATATTATTATTATTATTATTATTATTACGCGTGTTATCAATGGTATTATCTATTTATAATTCACTGTATTTCCACCAACTTTCAGCTTTTTGTGGTTTTATTTTATGTATGTATGTATGTATATATTTAAAAGGAGGTAAATTGTTGCAATATGTACAAAAACGCTGAAAATCCCATTCTGTATGATTATTGTTGTTGTTTAAAATAGAGTAATTATTATTATTACGACTAGTTAATTTTGTAAAATAAGATTGAAAGTTATCAGAAAAATAAAAAGCAGTGAAGACAGGACTCCAGGTGATGAACATAGAGAAGACTGAGGTGATGACGATAATCGACCAACAGCAACAATCACCATCAACGGAAGAGATTTGACTTACTTCACTTATCTAAGAAGCATCATTTCACCTACAGACAGAATGGATGAAGATGTTAAAGTCATAGTCGGAAAGGCAAGATACACCGTCATCAATTTGAAACCAGTTTGGAAATCTTCTGCACTCATTATCATAAAAAACACGATTTGGATTTTCAGCACCAATGTTAAGCCAGTCACTTACTCTCTGCGAGTTAGATACTTGCACTGCGCGTCATGAAGAGGATTTCCAACAAGTTACAGACCTGGATCAGCAGCTGCCACCTTCGCTGGCTCCATACTGAAGACCGAATAAGCAGCTGGCAGGCCAGAAAGAATTAGCAACTAGAAACTCTTCAGTGGAATAAATTGGTGGCATAGTGGTTAGGACTCTCGCCGACCATGCACATGGTCCGGGGTTCGAGCCCACGCCGGCGCACACCTGATATCTATGGTCGACCGATATCCATGCTGAAAATTCCATACTTGTACCAAAAATACAGTGTGGAATCAAGCTGTAAATAAAAAAACAAGCAAGAGGTGATTGCTCAACAAGTATGTAGGAGAATATGACGATGAGTTAATCAGGGATACATCACTCTCAATGCAGGTCATCACTTGTGTGGAATTCCATTGGGAAGCGACGAGTGGGTCGTCATTAAGATGGTGACATAGAATTCAATGAAAGATTAATAGGCAATCGTGTAGTTAGCCAGCTGAAAAAGACGTCAGAAAATAGAAGAAAGTGGAAATGTGTTGTTAAAGCCAGCCATATGTTCCACTCGGTACCCAAGGGACTGATAATATTAAAATTGATAAAAGAAAAATTAGTGATTCAATGATATAAAAAGAGTAAATGTGTTAGTATAGTCATTTAACATCTTCATTCAGTTGAATTGTTGGCTTACATGTTTGTTATTTTCTCTGTTTCTAGCTTTATTCCTCATGTTGGACAAGTTACTATTATTATGAATGAAAATCCCCGACTGAAGGTAAGGTACATTCAATTTGTCCTATGTAAAATCAATTATATATTAACATTACTTTATAGACAGGTTATACCAGCCAGTTACATTCCGATCTGACCAATGGTCTAAGCTAAACGGTCTTACCTTAAATCCCTATAAATGTCACACTGTTAACTTCACCTTTAGGTATATAAACGTGATCTACGAGGACTGGTTAGTTCACATGATGCTTGTAGCATGGAGAGGGTACTGAAATAGAAACTAAATCTAACACAAAATACCTTGATGTCCTTCTATTCTCCCATCTTTCTTGATCACTCCACATCTTGTCCATTTCTAAGAAAATGTCTCGTCTAACCTACTACATTAAGAAGTTAAGGCAATCAGAAATCCCTCAACCTCTACTTTTACAGTCTGTTAACTTTTGTATTTTACCTGTTGTACTTTACTGCTCCCCTGTCTTTAGTCCTTCCTGGGCTACTCAAAAAGGACTATGTCATATTGCGAAGAGTATGCTGACGAAGAGCGATGCTGGGGACATCACTCGTACCAAATTCCCAAGAAACTTCATGAACTCGTTCATGAAGCCGGCTCATCCTCCCGTAGGAGATAGCCGAAGTAAAGCAAGCAAGCATTAAAAGTTGTCAGTAGGGCAAATGGTGTGCCACTTAGTCAGCTTGTTACTACTGTAGTTTGATAGGTGCCTGAACTCATTTGAACAGTGGTCTAAATCCTTTTTGTTTGCCCCTTAAAACATCCTCTCCAACTCTCCTCTTGCATCTCATCAGGTAGAACTAGAAATCATTATAAAAGATTAGATGCTCGTACAAACGAGTGCAGAAGCTCAACGATACCCGATATGGTCCACCGGAGTTCTGTGTGATAGAGATAGTGTTAGGCGAGGAACCTACTACTTAACTATGTTATCAGCAAAATAATTGGCTCTCTTTTATCCTCTCCTATTTGTAATCTATGGCGACATTATTTCAATTAACTTATAATTTAGATATTAACATCATTGTCATTATTATTATTATTATTATTATTATTATATAAGCTTTATTCCAAATCAGTACTTGTGATACAGAATGGAATTCTCAGCATTTTACTACAATATTGCATCCAGTTTTTTGTTTACATTAACAATAAATAAAGTTCTACATAGTTTAAAGATTATCTCAACAACATATTAGTATGTTGGTAGCAAAGCCAAAATTAAAATGTTTGAAGGTGTTACAAAAGTAGATACTACTAGCATATTTACTGGCGTAAGCGATAGCAAAATGGTCGAGATATACAGAGTGTAAAAGAACGAACAAGAATGTTTTAAGTAGAGATTTCAACATGAGCTGACACTGGTCAGAGAACCATTGGAAAACCACCATGAAGTACTGGACAGTCGTTTCGTCCTAGTTTGCGACTCTTCAGTAGTACGCACCCACCGAGGTTCGAACCCAGGACCTTCTAGTTACAAGCCGAACTCGTAGACCATTAAGCCACTGGGACCCGATCCAATGGCCAACCCATGAATTCTAACTTCTGCCAATTCACGATATAGTGCAACCACTAGCCAATGTCTTCGGCGACTGTTCGTCCTCACACACGACCTGCTTCACCCTAGTGGTCACGACTTCCCATAAGAACCCCGGGTAACTACCTACCAGAATAGGGCCAGTCGCCAGTTAGTATCTCATTGATATTCAAGTATTGCTATTATCAATCCTGTATTATTATTGTTTTTGCCATTGTCGAGTAAATTAGATGCAGTAATATTGTACCACCAAATGCTGAGAATTCCAAAGTTTAACATAAACACTATTTTAGAAAAAAGCAAATTATTATTACTGTTATACTTCTGTCAGTGGAGAAGTGGCTTATCGGCTTAAACACTCCATTTTCATCTGATTGGTCACTGATCTGAATCCCTCTCTCTACTTACTACAGTTTAGGCAGATAGATCGGATTAGCTGCACTAGCCCTCACGTGGCAATTGTAGCTCTTAGCCTATTACATGAAAAATCTGTTCTGGTTCATTCATAAGCACCCACTGGGCTTCGGACCCATGACCTTCTGGTTACAAGTCTAGCTCGTAAACAATTCAGCCATTAAACCCGATCCAGTGACCCATGAATTCCAACTTCTTTCAAATTCACGATATAGCCTGACTAGTAGCCAATGTCATCTGCGAGTATCTGCTCTCACATCCCACTGATCAGAAGGGAGAGATACAGCAGGTCGGATGTGAGGTTTCAACCCCAGTGGGTACGTACCGATGAAGAGTCCCAAACTAGGCTGACGAAACAGTTGTCCATTACTGCATTTCCAATGATTTTCTAACAGATATCAGCTCATGGTGAAATCCTGTAGCCAATCAGATGAAATCCTTGGAAGACAAACTTTTGTTAAATCTTTTGAGATACATAGGTGAACTGAAAACGTAGATCATGATCGGTAGAACTCGAATCTATCAACTTCCAATTTACTGATCTATTACTTTATTGTACAGCTGTCAGCTTACCAGAGTCACATGAAATTAATACTTTTTCATTTAAAAAAAGGACTCAAAAGAGGAATGTTTATCGAGTTATTAGAATTCAGTTACTTATTTGGGAATTTGCATCAGCCCCAGTGGGTTGATCTCTGACGAAATCTCAGCACGGATACAAAGGGCTAGTTTCGTATATGCCAGTTTACGCCGTCTGTGGCGTAGACGTGATATCCAGCTATCGACCAAAGGGGGGGTGTACTGCTCATCAGTCCGCCCCGTCCTCCTTTATGGCTAACTGTGAGACGTGGCCATTGAGAGTGGAAGACATGAAAAGATTAGCTATCTTTGATCATAGGTGCTTGCGCTTTATCTCCCGTGTGAAGTGGTATAATAAGATGACCAATATTGAGGTGAGGCTTCAGTCGAGTGCAAGGTAAGCAGGGGAAATCAATCGACGAGGCTGTGAAATTACATCGACTGAGATGGTTAGGACATGTGTTACGCATGCACCCTTAGCCATCGCCTTCCTCGACAATGGGCAATCTTAGGTGACATAGGGTCGGGCTGGAAAAGCGCTGGTGGCGGTGAAACCAAAACATGGCTTCACCAGTCAATGAAATACACAACAGTCAGTTTAAGCCACGTAGGAAGGTGTAGATTTCCTGGCTGGAGTCCTTGGGACGGTAAAAACCAATGGTTGGAAACAGTTGGTGATATGCCTCAGAATCGTTCTCAATGGCGCATATGCAACCACTCCCTGTGACTTATACTTTCCAGTGAAACTATATTTTCCTTCGTTATTACTATTCCTTTTGTTTTGTATCTCTGTTTACTGTCTCTGTTATGCATTTCTTCTCTTGCTTTGTGTGCTACATGGAGTGTGGCGACTTGAACTGGTGCACATATGTGCAAGCTCTATGTCGAAAACAGATAGACAGTTACTTGGATCAGGTTTTTCTTGTACGTCAGACTATGTGTATGAGTCAATCACACTTATTGTATGAGAACTGTTGAGCAGTTGCACAGGGTTAAGTAGGTGGGGCATTATTCAAATCTGGGTTCCATTGGTTTTGGAAACCACATATTTGAGCTAATGAGCTACTCAGACTACTCTATACTTGAAATAATATTCTTCACCAATTATCTACATGTTTATGTATTGACCTGTGAGTCATACTTATGTGTATGTGTGTGTGCGTGTATGAAAGATTCATAACACTCATTAATCATCAGCAAGGAATTTAATTGAAGAGAAATTTATAAACCCCATGGTGTGTCTCAATTAAAGTGTGACTAGTTATCTGTTAAGGATGCATGTTCATACATGTTATTACTTCAATAGATAGTTAAGGTTGTAGTTTTCAAATGTAGTTTGTGTGTGTGAGTGTATGTATCGTTTATATTTTTGATATTATTAACTTTTTAAAGACTGAATTCAAACATCTTTCATGAAATGATTGAACAGGGCATGGGTGTGTTTACACATCCTAATTTGAATCAATTTACAATTTATTATCCAGATTTCATCATGATCTGACATCGGTTAGAGGACCATTAGGAAACCCCCTGAGAGTACTGTACAGCCTCTTCGTTCTGGTTTGGGACTCTTCAGCAAATCTAGTGGGAATTCGTGATGACATTCGTTCTTGGTCACGCTATATCGTGAATTGGCAGAAGTTGGAATCCATCGGCTGTCTATTGGATCGCGTCCCAGTGGCTTAATGATCTACAGGCTCACGTTGTAACCTGAAGGTCGTAGTTTAGAATCCTGGCGGGTGCTAATTGCCGGAGAGTTCAAACGAGGACGAAACAGCGTCCCAGTACTCTAAGGTTTTCCAATAATTTTCTAATCGATGTCAGTTCATGATGAAGTCCTGAAACTAATGAAATCCTTGCAAACCAACACTTGAATTAATTGTTATTCTTTTTTTTAAATACAAAGCTAGTACATTATTGGGCACCAGGAGATGCACCACACGAGGATTAGGATACTTCTCGGCTGCCCATACTGAAGCCGATAGTGGTCTTTAAGGGCTACCTCCACAGCCTTTTACTTGAAGTCTGATTCACAAGGCAGTGGAGCCGCCCATGTACAGCATCACCACCATAGGGGTTTAGAATCGTAGTTTTCCAACTCCTCTTGTGTAGATCCGTGAATAGGACTTACCTGGCTGGCAGAGACTACGGACGCATAGTTGCATGAGAGAATTTCGAGAGAAGGACCAAAGTCTACACCCTCTCGGTTATATCAGGTCGTTTCTGGGGTGAATTAATTCAATACACACTGGTAACTACCGTTCAGTAAAGCTTAACTTGTCTGTAGTCGTCAAAAATAAATAAATAATAATTTTTCCTTCACGTTCCCAGTGGAACATAGGGCTTCAACCTAGTGGCTTGAAGTTTCTGTAGCAGTATTGATTTTTACAGGATAAGGTTGCTAGCCTCATGCCCAACCTCCCTTCTTTACCAGCATTATTTCTGGCTTAGCGAGGTAAACGGGTGCGTCAGCCGGCAATCGAACCCCGGACCATGTGCATGGTCGGCGAGCGTCCTAACCGCTGTGCCACCGACACAGTCAGGTTATTTTTAAAGTTGAATAATTTGTCAGTAATACATGCGGTACACACACATTATAACTTTTAATACGTCAACTATCAGCTACTCCAGTTATTGTGAGGTCAAACACACACAGATTTAAAAAAGCAATGTGTATGCTTATGAACACTGATCGCCCCGATAAAAGACTTAGTACTGCCGAAAGTGGGTAGACTACGGTCTTCCTCTCTATAGATGCTTCCTTAGTATAGCCACGTCCCATAACCTCTGTCAGCCAGGTATGTCCTATTCACCAATTTCATGCGACAAACGTGTTTATCACAAAAGTGAAAGAGCAAATCCTGGCATTCACACCTCGACTTGTGGACACACAAGTCTACCTACCTAGGGGAACCTATAGTGTACATAGACTCCAGAAC